TTTCACGTACGGGGCAAGAGTAAACAAAAACACCAAATTCACCACAACTAGGAGTTCTTACCGTTTTCTTTTCTTGAACAAAATAACGTAAACACAAAAAAAGGCCAATCTTTGAGGGCCCAAAATATAGGAAAACGCATAATAAAATTTTCCTTTACATGATTATTACTTTCAAATAATGGAAATAACACTGATTCCATTTTTATTTAATTTTCCTTATAGTTTTCAATACAAACAGGAAAATTAGTAGTTCTTTCTAATATAGTCAGATACAATATTTTTTCCTTTGAACTAAGCCAAATTCTCAGAGATATCTTTGAGGAAGAAGATGACTTCGCATGATCAACCAAAGCGTCCTTTCGGTATGCAAAAAAAATTACTCCTTCACTCTTTGATTTTGGCCTCTTGCTTATTTTATGAATCATAACACTCTTTGTCACCACTAGATAATCAAAATCCTACGTGTGAATACACATTGAGAAAAATGTATGGATTTTATGAGGGACAAGTTTACAAGGTATACTTTCATCTAAACTCATGTTTTAATTAAACAGTTGCCTCAAGTTTTAGCAAATCATAAAGGTTTCTTCCAATTATTTGTTAGATGTTTTCTAGACTTCCATTATACAAAACAAAGCTAAACCCCGAGCAGATCATGCGGTACAAGACGATAATGGACTCTATGACAGACAAAGGTATAGGTAACACCGTTGATCAAAAACATTATTTTCTTCCTTGTCTCAAATTGAATGATCAAAAGTCTTACTATGTGGCAGAGCTTGATGGACTAAATCCAGAGTTAACGAGTATGGCGCGGAAGATGGAGATAGCCAGAGCATCGAGACAGGACGTGAAACAAGTTAGTGAGATGATCAAAGAGTACTTGAGACTAGAGCGAGTATGGAGACATGTACAAATATTGATGAGTGATACGAAGATGATGGACATGTCTGCTCTGTTTTGGAACGAGCTCACAACTTCTTTTAACATAGAGATTGTCCCGAAGGCCGAGAACACCCGGCCTAATAGCAGCAGCGATGAATACACGTTGAGAAAAATGTTTGGATTTTACAAAGGACATGTCTACAAGGTAATACTTTGATCTCTCTCATGTTTCATTAGTTGATGACTGATCAAGTTGTTAGCAAATCATAAAAGAAAAAAAAGTTGAGTCGCAAGGTTTGTTTGTTAGATGTTTTCTAGACTTCCATTGTACAAGAGAAAGCTAAATCCCGAGAAGATCAGGCAGTACAATACGATAATGGACTATATGACAGACAAAGGTAACACCAATGATCCAAAAGTATTTTCGAGCTCTCACATTGGTCAAAGGTCTTACTTGTAATTATGTGGCAGAGCTTGATGACCAAAAACCAGTAGAGAACATAGGTGAGCCGCGGACTCTGGATATATTGAGAGAATCCAAAATAGGCGTGATACCTTTTTTCGAAATGCTGAGCGAGTTCCTAAGATTAGAGAGAGTGTGGAGAGATGTTGAGAAATTGATGAGCAATACAAAGCTCATGGACATGTCTGCTCTGTTTTGGAATGAGATTGCAACTACTCTCGACGCAGATATTGTCCCGGAGGTCGAGAATATTCCTCCCCGTAAGTTTGAGTTGATGAACTGGGTCAAGTGTGCTCTTGTTTATCTTGGGACTTTTGTATTTTTTTTTTGGATAGGCATGAGCATTCCATGATCTAACTAATGTTGTTAGATTAGTTCATAAACAATATACATTTCTTGGAAGTTCCTTATCTCAGTAGCACAGCTACATAAATGTTCAAGCTCTTTGATGTGTTCTAGTACAGCTACATTCATTCATAAACAATATAAATGTTCTAGTACCTGGAAGATGCAACCTCTTTGATGTGTCTCCATTGTGTACAAAATTTTATTTATGGTAGTTATGTCATACGAGGAACATGTAAAGAAGAGAGTAAATGATCTTCTTGCATCTGTGTGAGTTATCGTTCTAAGAAATTACCATTTTTATATTTCTTCAAACTCTGTTTCTGTGGTGAGTATTTTACATACAAGACTGGTGAATTTTTCTGCTTATGGAAGAACGAAGGATCATCTCCTTTTAATTTTAGCAGTCACTGAACTTGATTGAGGAAAGGAAACCTGAAGCTTGTTATAGATTTGTAGTAAAAAGGGACCAAATTCAAATTCAAATTCAAAAGAAGAGTGGATTAAACTCGAGTAGTATGCTTCTACGTCTTCAATATCTAGTAAGTAGTATGCTTCTATGTGTTCAGTATATCAGATATTTGCTTCTAGTAATATGTAAATTTCGGTATGTAGACTAGTATGCACCATATTTGCTTCCAGTAATATACTTTCTATATATCTTGGGTATGTAGTCTATTATGCACCATATTTGCTTCCACTTATATCTCTCTTCAAGGCCCTGCAAAACAAGAGAAAGCAGAAAATCAACTACGTGCATATATACATATATGATCTCTAAGAACTACCTTTAATCTTCGTCACTAGGCTCCTCTCTAAGCCTCCTTACACACATCTTCACGGCAGTTGGGACAGAGTCTGCATTGAAGAGACGAATTATATCGAGACAAGTAAATGACGGGAAAGAATGTAAGCTTGTTTGTATTACCTGTTGTGATTCTTAAGCCAAGGATCAACACATATGGTGTGGTAGCTATGGTTGCAGGGCAGAGTCATAATGCTTTCTCCTTCTTCATACGTTGAGTGGCATATGGTACAGGAAGATTCCTCGTCATGGACAGTATGAATTCTTGTCGGTAAAGAGTCCACAACTTGAGCAGGTTCCGGAACCATTTCATCTTTTGGAGGAGATCCAGTCGGTGTGTAATACGCATCATCATCATCGGTTCCTTCTGGAGTGCGAAAATCATCATCATCTTCTTCATCCGAAAGAAACAAGTCTCGCAGAGATGATCCAAAGTCAAAAACATCGGTTTCAGCATCGCTCAGAAACGCATCTTCTTCACCATCTGTAGTGTAAACCTTCTCATCCTCTTCTTCAGCTGAATCAAACTATCACCACAGAAATTTCTCTTGATTATAATCATCCTGATTCCTTCAACATCGTCTAGATTCGATAAATACAGAGAAATTACTAATCATCGCGAAATCTACGGAACCGAATTGTATCCTTAACTTCGGATACTAACTACCAAAACCTCTGTTTCCATATTATGTCCGAGACGATCAATTTCCATACATGTCGGAGACAAAATCAATTTCACTCCGATCAATTTCGAAAATCTCTGTTTCCATAAATGTCGGAAACAATCAATTTCAATCCGATTATTACCTAAATCTACCATCTCAGTACCAAAAAACTCTGACCGATTCGAAACCGAAACCCTAAAATAGCGGACCTAAATCTCCTTCTATAAAACCTTCCATAAACGACGGCTAATCCAAATCAAATTCGATTCCCTATCTAATAAGAGAAAGAAATATTGTCTTAACGAGAGATTTGAGCGGACGAGTTACTAACCATCGCCATTTTCGCACCTCCGAGCTTCGTCTTCTCTTTTTTCTTTTTTCAGAGCGTTTCACAGTAATCTGACAGAAGATGCAAATTAGCGGGAAGAAGAAGTGAAGCACTACTAAAATACAACCAAACATCTAAAACGCTGTCGTTTTCTGTGTTTTGTCTCGTAATTTGTGTTTTCCCTCCTTTTTTTTTTTTTGTTTGAATAACTAATTCACTTGTCATATAAAACACAACCAAACATGTAAAACGGTGTCGTTTCTGTGTTTTGTCTCGTTCCTTTTCTTCTTTTTTTTTGAGTAAAAGACTCGTTTTAAAAACAATTCACGCCATATGAAAAAAAGTTATTATTGTTATTTTTTTTGTCACGAACACACTTTTCCTATTGATTAACCAAATACAGCGGTATTAGGAAACCAATGAAGAACAGAAGTGCTAATACTAGAAAAAACCCTATTGCGTTGACGAGCGTTCCTAACAAGTAGGTCCGCCTTTGCATTCTGATTCCGTGGACAATACACCAGGGTAAAATCCGGGAAGTAAGCCCGAATTACCGTCAACTCATCCAGCTCTGTCTTGAAACGAGGCCACTTGTCTAGATCTTGCACCATAGCAATCAACTCCTGAGAATCTGTTGCGAACATCGTACAGTATCGCCTTTTCCTCCTTAGGCTCTCCATTGCCCATAGCAGACTATGCATCTCCGTATATAGGGGGGACAGCCCCCGGCGCATACCTCTTATTCCAAGGAGATCTGTCTCACCATCTTGTACCTGAAGTATCCAACCTAACCCACTCGTGGGATCACCGTCTTTCCATGACTCATCCACAAAACATTTAAAAACAGTTGTTGGTATTGTGGGTACAAACAACAAGGTTTCCCTAGCCGACCTGTTCCATGGAACCCTTCGCTAAGGACCAGGCCTCAGTCTCCCTCCTGGCAGTGTCCAGGGTTGTCTGCGGAGATCGGTATAAG